CTGTTGACTTTTCTAAAGGCTGGACCTGGCATCAGTTGATGAGAGGAAAGCCCTTTGAAAATTTTACAAGCAGTTCCTTGATTTTTAATTTCTTGGTTGAGGATTTTGCTTTTAACTCCAGTTTTCTCTTAATGTCTTTCTTCATTACCCAGGTAGCACCATTTCTGTTTGGTGCCTGGAGATTTTACCCTAGTCTGTTTGTGGCTCTAGCTCCCTAATCCACACAGGGCCCGGGTTAGCTCCCAGCTTTGTCTTTTCCTACCCCCACCTTTCCCCAATCTCATCCCATATCATCCTGCTCTCCAACCTAATTTCTTCAGAAGAGGTTTCTTCTTTCTCTTTGCTTAAGTATTTCAAGCTCCAACCCTCTGAAATGCTTGTAGCCCACAGGGCCACATGTTCCCACCATATATAAACCATAGCACATCAGTCATACTTTATAACTTTTGCTTCAGGAAAACAGTGTAGGATATTTCACAGCAACAACAGGGCTAGACTTGTCATAGTGGCTCTTGTGACCAGTATTTCTACAGGACTCGACTTGTTGTCATAGTGGCTCTTGTGACCTTTGCCCTGAACCAAGGCTCTCTATTCCACCTTGGAAAGAGAAGTTGGATTAGTAGTAACAAAATAGTGGCTAAATTGAGGGCAGGTGGCTGATAGATACATTTTTTAAGGAGGTGTCATGAACATGATCATGTGTACATATGATGTAGTGATTTATGCCAGAATAGAGCTATTGCTAATTAATTATTTAGTCATCCAGTAAACATTTATTTCATGCCAAATATTCAGTCAGACCCTGTTCTAGAGAGATAAATAAGATCCAGTCTTTGACTTTGAGAAGCCCATGGATTACTGCGTTACTTCAGTAACTGAGGTTTACTGAACACTTGATAAATGACCTGTTCATGCTATATACAATTCACTGGAGATTATCTTACTTAGTCCAATAATCCCGAAGTAGTCAGGTTATTAGTATCATCATTCTATAGGCAAGAATCAGGCACAGAGAGGTTGAGTAGTCTGCCAGTGGTCCCTGAGCTGAATCTGGGGAAGACCCAACCAAGGTGGTTACACTCCAGAGCATGTATGTGGGAGACCTAGCATGCAGCCTCTGATACTCAGAAACCCCCCAGGAAATATCGTTTGAACCCCATGTGGCAGAGGAAGTAACTCGTTGAAGTCAAAGGGAGGAAGATTTGAGCTGAGCCTAGTGTTAAAAAGGCCTTTGCGATGTTTGGAGTGTTCCAACAAAGGAATACTTTATTTGATACTGATTATTCTGTCGTGGGAGGCATTTACCCAGAAAGACTTAATAGTATAGTCAGTAAGACTAAGGTTAAAACGCCGGGCAGGATAGCTGACCTTTGAGGATTACTCCAGCTCTTAGAGTCTATGATTCTAGGAATTTGGAGCTTTGTGTTGAACAGGCAGATCCAGCAGCCATGTTGGCTCGAGTATGAAAAGTGAGGGTACAGTCTGGGCACAGTGGCTCACACCTGTAAACCAGGAGTTTGAGGCCCGCTTGAGCAAGAGAGAGACCAACTCTCAAAAAAATAGTTAAATTAGCTAGGTATAGTGGCATGTGCCTATAGTCTCAGCTACTTAGGCAGCTGGGGCAGCCAGATTGCTTGAGCCCAGGAGTTTGAAGCTGCAGTGATTTATGTTGCTGCTGCTGTATTCTAGCCCAGGTGACAGAGTGAGACCATTTCTCAATAAACAAAAATGAGGGTGCTAGGTCAACGCCTGGGTCGGGGGTTCCTTATTGTTTTGCCTTTACTGATGTCCACTCCTCTTCCTTTTCTTCTGTTTCTCCTTGGGATTTATTTCCCTCCCCTGCTCCCACCCAGCCCACTCTTCTTCTTGTGTTATCTTTGCCTTTATAAGAGTCAAGGGTCAGTATTTAGAAGTTCTTTGTTCAGTACATTGAGTCTTTCCTCCTAAAGAAGATGTCTTATATTGGGTAGTTTTGTCTAGCCTGCATTCCAATTATCATTCCCTCTTCGCTAGGAGAGAAATAGGATTGGAAAAGAAAACAAAAAGAAAGACCAGCCCTCTGGAACATTCATCTAGTGTCAATCTAGCCTTTGTCCTCTAGCAGTAGCAAAACTTGCTTAATCACAGTAAGATAACTAGACACTTGTTCTTTAAACTTGATTTTCATTGTGTCTTCAGGGAAACAATGTAGAAGAATACGGAAAAAAAAGTACCTTGCCCCAGCTTGAGAGCATCTGTTACCCTTTAGAAGACTGCTAGTACTGTTTTCTTCTAAAATACCAAAAGTAGGTTCAAGTGTAAGGCAGGCAATCCTATCTTGAGCTGAGCACCAAAATGATGGTGGGAAATGTGGAAACATTATAGTCTTGGTCCTCACATAGCCTGTGGCGTCCTTGCTCATTCTTTGGGCGGGGGAGGAAGGGTGAACTTGAGGACAGGGTTATAAAGGTATAAAAATGTGGTTCTTTTCTTCAAGGGAGGGATTAAATATTCTATCTTCCTTTTTAAAATTCAGAAATAAAGGCCCTAAAAACTAAGAGAAAAAAATCATTTAGAATGATTCAATGTTTCTTTAAACAACTAGGGGCCATATTGTCTTCAGAGTTCTATCTAGCCAGGAAATAGTAATAGCTGACATTTACTGAGTATTTAATATGAGCCAGACACTTTGCTAAAGACTTCACACGTATTAGCACACTTAGTCCCAACAACAGCCCTCGGAGGGAGGTACTACACATATTATTATCACCTCTGCTTTTCACAGATGAGGAAGCTTAGGTATAGAAAGGTTCAATAAATTGCCCCAGGTCACATAGCTAGCACCTAGTAAAAGAGGAAAGTGGGCTCTTCAGGAGCCCCTCTCTGAGCCACTCTGCTGCGGCTCAGCCCCAAGGAAGTGTGGGTGCTAACGACAGCAGCCAGCGGGGAAGAGCACTTCGCTTCCGTG